ACGCATGTTTTCGTAGAGCGGTTATCGTTCGCCACTTGAGGGCCATAGTGAGAGTTAGACCAGCCGCTAGAACGGCCGCCGGCTGCAAACCGCAAAGGGAAACGCGAATTTCACGCCCGCATGGGCTGGGGTGGAGTTGGCTTCGTGTTGGCTTCGTGAATTTCGACCTTTCCAGGCGAAACTGCCGCCTCTGGGATTTTCGACCGACGACCTGGTCGTTGTGAGGCACAACGTGGAGGTCCGGCGCAAGTTGCTGCATGGTCTTTTGTCGATGTCAGTCCTTGAGGCGGAATTCGGCGTCGTTGATTACGAACAGGCCACGGCTGCATTCTTGGAGTGGCAGAAGGGTGGCGGCAACCCGAATCGAGATCAGAAGCCATACCTTTTCCACTTGATGGAGTTTTGTGATCATCGGCAGGATCTCTGGCCAACCAGCCCCACGACTTTCAAGCCTTTCGAGAAAACGCATGGGGAAATATTCAACGGGGAGGAGGACGCCGTGAATCGAGAGTCCGCTTGCGTTATTAATTTCATCGCCAACGGTTCCGTCGCCAATCGCATTTCACAGCTTCACTGCCAGGCGAAATTGGCTTCTTCCGTTGATGGTTTCGTCGGGGGTTTGTTGAATCATGGCCTCGTGCTGGCCCAGCAAAAAGACGTCGAGAAACAGGAGACTGCCAAGGGAATCCTGACCATGGTGTTGAAGCCGCAAATCCTCGAAATAAACTTGGAGTCAGTGATGGGGGCCATCGACCTCAGCATGATTGGCGCTGCTAATGTCGCGGACCTCCCACACAATTCGATGCTCCAGGTTGTGCAGACCATGGTTGCTCGAGTATGCAACTTGGGACTTCGATCTGAAGCACTGCAGACAGAAGGCCGATCGCACGGGATGTGCAGCATTTTCATTTGGTGTTGTCAGTTGTTGTTGTTGTAAGTGTTGTTGTTTTGTTGATGTTGTTGTTGTTGTTGTTGTTGGTGTTGTTGTTGTTGTTGTTGTTGGTGTTGTGGTTCCCCCTTTATGTTGTGTTACCATAGGCTATAATGCCTACGCCAGGATATTCGACTTTACCGGCGTGTCGTTTATACCAACCAGCCAATCCAGAAACGAACGTCTGGCGAAGCGTGGCAGCATGCAGTGCAAATTCCGCCACTTAAGCGTATCGGAGAAGGAATGACGGATTTGCGTTGCATGGTATCGCTCGTGTTCTTTTGCCACGGCGGTGTGATCGGCGTCTCCTGGGGGCATCGTCGGGAGTTGTCTTTGGGCAGCATCGGCGCCAGGACAACCACCAGCACAGCCTCCAGCACAACCACCAGCACAACCCCCAAGCACAACCCCACAGCACAACCCCCCACGCAGCCTCACAGCCCCTAGCACTACCTCTCAGTACAACCCCCAGCACAACCCCCAAGCACAACCCCCCTCGCAGCCTCACACCCCCTAGCACTACCTCTCAGCACAACCGCCAGCACAACCCCCAAGCACAACCCCCCAGCACAACCCCCCACGCAGCCTCACAACCCCTAGCACTATGTACCTCTCAGCACAACCCCCAGCACAACCCCCAAGCACAACCCCCCAGCACAACCCCCCACGCAGCCTCACAACCCCTAGCACTACCTCTCAGCACAACCCCCAGCACAACCCCCAAGCACAACCCCCCAGCACAACCCCCCACGCAGCCTCACAACCCCTGGCACTACCTCTCAGCACAACCCCCAGCACAAACCCCCAAGCACAACCCCCCAGCACAACCCCCCACGCAGCCTCACAACCCCTAGCACTACCTCTCAGCACAAACCCCCAGCACAACCCCAAGCACAACCCCCCAGCACAACCCCCCACGCAGCCTCACAACCCCTAGCACTACCTCTCAGCACAAGCACCCCCAAGCAGCAACCCCCTACGCAGCCTCACAACCCCTAGCACTACCTCTCAGCACGATCCCAAGCACAACCCCCAGCACAACCCCCCACGCAGCCTCACGACCCCTAGCACTACTCCAGCACAAACCCCAGCACCCCCAAGCACAACCCCCCAGCACAACCGCCCACGCAGCCTCACAACCCCTAGCACTACCTCCCAGCACAACCCCCAGCACAACCCCCAAGCACAACCCCCCAGCACAACCCCCCACGCAGCCTCACAATCTCTAGCACTACCTACCAGCACAACCCCCAGTACAACCTCGGAGACCAGGGTCAGGGGCTTACAGTGCTCGCTGGTTCTCGTGTGCAGGAGTCGGGCGGTGGCAGGGCCCGGCGTCGGACCCCCCCCTGGCCAGGGCGCCGCAGGCCCTGGCCAGGGGCGTGCTTGTGGACGTAGCCACTTCCTTGTCCTTGTATACTTCTAATGTCCACGCTAGCCGGGTGGACGCCGGCGTGTCGCCACTTCGGGGGTTTATTTTTCATTTTCCTCAACCCCCAGCACAACCCCCAGGCACAACCCCCCAGCTCAACCCCTCTCCCCCCCCCAAGCCTCACAACCCCTAGCACTACCTCCCAGCACAACCCCCAGCACAACCCCCAAGCACAACCCCCCAGCACAACCCCCCACGCAGCTTCACAATCTCTAGCACTACCTACCAGCACAACCCCCAGTACAACCCCCAAGCACAACCCCCCAGCACAACCCCCCACGCAGCCTCACAACCCCTAGCATTACCTCTCAGCACAACCCCAGCACAACCCCCAAGCACAACCCCCAGCACAACCCCCCACGCAGCCTCAGAACCCCTAGCACTACTCTCAGCACAACCCCAGCACAACCCCCAGCACAACCCCCAGCACCCCACGCAGCCTCACAACCCTAGCACTACCTCTCAGCAAACCCCCAGCACAATCCCACAAGCACAACCCCCCAGCACAACCCCCCACGCAGCCTCACAACCCCTAGCACTACCTCTCAGCACAACCCCCAGCACACCCCCAAGCACAACCCCCCAGCACAACCCCCCAGGCAGCCTCACAACCCCTAGCACTACCTCTCAGCACAACCCCCAAGCACAACCCCCCAGTACAACGCTCCACGCAGCCTCAGAACCCCTAGCACTACCTCTCAGCACAGCCCCCAGCACAACCCTCCAGCACAACCCCCCACGCAGCCTCACAACCCCTAGCACTACCTCTCAGCACAACCCCCAGCACAACCCCAATCACAGCCCCCCAGCACAACCCCCCACGCAGCCTCACAACCCCTAGCACTACCTCTCAGCACAACCCCCAAGCACAACCCCCCAGCACAACCCCCCACGCAGCCTCACAAACCCCTAGCACTACCTCTCGGCACAACCCCCAGCACAACCCCCAAGCACAACCCCCCAGCACAACGCTCCACGCAGCCTCACAACCCCTAGCACTACCTCTCAGCACAAACCCCAGCACAACCCCCAAGCACAACCATCCAGCACAACCCCCCACGCAGCCTCAGAACCCCTAGCACTACCTCTCAGCACAGCCCCCAGCACAACCCCGAAGCCCAACCCCCCAGCACAACGCTCCACGCAGCCTCACAACCCCTAGCACTACCTCTCAGGACGACCCCCAGCACAGCCCCCAAGCACAACCCCCCAGCACAACCCCCCACGCAGCCTCACAACCCCTAGCACTACCTAGGTCATGGTGGGTCATGCTGGGTGGTCGAGCAGGCGGTCCTGGGGGTGGTTGTGCGGTGGTCCTGCTGGTCGTTGGTCGTGCTTGGGGTCGTGCTGGTGGTTAGTAGCGCTGGGGGTCGTGCTGTTGATCATGCTTGTGGTCGTGCGGCTGGTCCTGCGGCTGGTCATGCTGGGGGTTATGCCAGTAGTCGTGCTGGTGATCGTCTGGTGGTTGTGCTTGTGGTCGTGCAGGTGGTCGTCCAGGTGGTCGTGCGGCTGCTCGTCCTGGGAGTTGTGCCAGTGGTCGTGCTGGTGGTTGTGCTGGTGATCGTATTGGTGGCTGGTCGTGCTGGTGGTCGTGCTCGGGGGATGGTCGTGCTGGGTGGTCGCGCTGGTTGTCGTGCTGGTAGCCTTGCCAGGTGGTCGTGCTGGATGGTCGTGCAGGTTGGCTGTGCCGGTGGTCGCAGTGCAACACCAGATTCGTTAAGAAATTCTGGGGCCAAAGCTGGGTCTCGCACAGGAGTTAAGAAATCCATCGAAGCTGGGTCTTCATTTCTTAAAAGAAGATTTCTTAACACAAGTTTTGAGTGTAAGAAGGATCGCGCAGATAAAAAACGGCGCGAAGCGGGGGCGCGGGCGGCCTGTCGGGGCAACCTGGGGCCCGATGGTTCAAAAGGAGTGATCTGATCAATAACTCGTCCCCCCCCGCAAAAAGGCGAAACGGTGCGCGTCGGGGCCGCCGCCAGTTATTGTTTGGGCGCCGTTTGGCGTTCCTTGGGTTGTTTCGTGGCCGTCGTGGATTTCTTCAGATTTGTTTGGGCGATTTCGAGCAATGCCGAAGTGGCAAGACCGACATGTGAGCTAGAAGGCGGGAGGGCAAAAGTCTTTGAACGCCATGGGCATTTGAAAACATATTGTTCCCCATCGCCGATGGGGAACACGGGGCGTTTTCGAAGCATCGGCGTGCGCCCGGAACTATTTTGGGCAGTGCCGAAGCCTCTTAGAGCCATGTCGCATGGCAAACGTTTTCAAAACAACCTCGACGTAACCTGGGCCACGTTGACCTCCACATTTGTCGTTTCTTGGCCCTCTTTGAAACATCGTAGGACATCTTGGACGCTCCAATGCCCGACCCCCCCACTCCGCCCCTTCAAGACCAAGGTGGGGTGCACGGGCAGGGGCGCCCTCCCACCCCCCGGTGGATAAAGCAAACATCGGTTGGTGGCTAATGCAAGGGCGCGCTTGTAAAACACCTGCGCCCATATGGTTGCTGGGATCATGTGGCTCGCCCTGCTCGTTAGAACATTTTGGGATAATGTCCTCCACAATCTTGTTTTCACGTGTTTCAGACAAAGACGTGAGTGAATATTGCACCAGTATCTCGCACGTTCCTTCTCTGGGCAGGCGCGCCCGAGATCGCAAAGGGCATCTTGCAGCACATGTTAGACCTCCACGCCAAAGTGAATACGGTCATTATCCTTGCAGTCTTCTTGTGTGGAGAAATTTCGAGAGCAACCGAATCAGGTAAGTTCACGTCTATTGTCGAAGCCGCCCGTCTTCTGCTTGCCAGTTTGACGAGCGTTAAAAGCGTCATTGCCTCAACTGCCTTGCAAGACGTGGATGCACAGAACGGTGGCTTGAAACAAAACCTGGCGTTCTTCAGCCAGTGGATTGAGAATATGGAGGTGTTTGCGGTCAAGTTTGTGAGCCATGTCATCGACGTGCATTGCGACCGCATCTCCACGCTGGCCGCCGCCCTCGAGCAGACGCTGCCGAACTGGAAGGCGATGTTCCAGGGCGAGAAAATGAACGAGACCTTGATCAAAAAACATATCTTGAGCAGCCCACACAAGGACTCCTGGTTCAAACTCTCGCAGGGCCTGGATGCGTTCGTCAAGACCTTTGCCAGCGCTACTGTGACCATGGCCTTGGATCCACCTTGGGACGACGACGAAAGGTGCACAGGAGCTGCAGCACTGGCGGCAGGGGCATCTCGCAAAACAACCGAGACCTTGGCTGTGACTTCAGCTTGTAACGTCTATTTCAATTTCGGGAAATCCGCCCACGGACCGACGATGGCCAAACAGGTTTTCAACAGCGTTGCCAACATCAACGACCCTAAAAACCGGAAAGATGGTGATGGCTTGTTTGAGCTCCCCAAAGTTTTGGCCGATGCCTTGCAAACGATGGCCGACAATTCTCAGTCCACCGAGGGCCCGCCACAGAAGAAAGCGAGAATGGCGAGCAAGACCGTCAAGAGGGAGCCGTAGGACGGTGAGCGCGAGGCACCTGCACAGGCGGCGTTGTTTTGGGGGTGGGCGTTCGCTGACGCAGCCCAGCCGCGCCGTATTGCGAACGGCGCATGGGGCCAGGGGGAGGCCAGAAGGGGATAGAAAAGGGAACGCGTAACATTTGTCTTTGAATACATGCATGTGTTGTAGGCACACATTTTTTTTGCATCGCCGAACATGCGCAATGTATGCACAGGAACAGGCATATGGGATGTAGTATTACATATGCGTGTGCATACGGAGCTGGGAAGAATGTGTATACAGAGAGACACATGAGCAAACGTAAAGAGGGCTATCGGCGGGGATGGGGCAGCGCGCACGGCAACAGGAGATGCACCAGCATATGGCACATGTGACGGTGGATGTATCAAGTGGCGCATTACGGGCGATTTTGACAGTGAGGGACGGGGGGAGGGAGAACGGAACAGAGATAAGCAGGCAGGTGGGGGAGGACAGCTGACTGTAGGAACCGACAGTGGCCAGCACCACCGCGTGGGGTTGCGAGTGGCGTTTTTGGAAAAGGGTGTGCGCAATCATTCTAGCAATCCTATCCAGTGTTGGTTTGGGAAGTTATGCCAGGTAATTGCCATATGTCGACATTTGCGTTGCTTGTGAGTTTTCTCTGCGTTCGCTCGTTGCCAAGGAATGGCTCTCTCAGGATATCTTCAATCACGGTAGCAATCACGTGTCCAGAGTGATTGGCGTCATGTAGAAGCCCTTGTGCTATGCAGTAAGATCTCTTGCAGTGGGGGCGCGCCTTCGCTCGTGCATCGGAGGGCGTGCGTGCATGTATTTTCTTCGTGGTGTTGTTTCCTTCTCGTCGGAAGGTTTGGCTTATTACAATGGTTCTTCAGAGTGAATCCACGTGCGATTTCGCCAGAGCTGATGCCCGATGCGCCCAAGACGTTTCCAATGACGGCCACTATGCCTAAGACTGCCTTGGAGATCGATTCAACGCGCCCCCGAAAGGGCGCCAACTCGTTTCTAGTGCGGCGTGATGTCCCCAATGCATTCAGATGCACGGCAAACACCACTGGAACAACATCTGCGTGAGACGCGAGTTTGGGAGCGGCGCGAACATTGCCACTCGAACGGCGCAGAAATACTCGCACGCCTAATGCCGAGCGCGCGGTGGCCCAGGGGTTCTTGGCGCGTCTCCGGGTAGGCGCGTTTAATTTGCCAGCGAAATCGCGACTTGAATCTCCCATCAGTCAGCATGGAGCAGCTTATAGTTCTGTAAAGGCCTTATGTTATGATGAGTGCCAGCTTGATCAAAATGCGAAGTCGTTTCGGCGAAGGCAGTGTGCAGGAGCCCGCGGTAGCGAAATTATGAATGTCTTGCGGATTGCCCCCTGGGCTACCCCCCCCCAATAGCGCTGACCCCAAGGACAGAGCCAAAGCATATCACAGAACATACCAGAGCGGAACATGACATAACAGAAAATGACAGAACACAACACATCAGAGCATAGCCGAACATAACATAAGACGCATTGACAGAACATGTCATATCATGACACAGCGTCACCAAACGTATCACAATATGACAGCAGAGCATAGCGGCGAACACGCCAGAACACATCATGTCACACCAGAAGATACCATCACATCACGCGATCATGTCGTAGTATGACAGATCATAACATATGAATACAAGTAGAATGCAGAGCATGCGAGAATGCGAGAACATCGCATAACACATCATACCATAGCCTGGTATAACAGAAGGCGGCATAACACATTATAGCATAGCATAGCATAGCATAACCGAAGAACTAATAAGCCACCTTGGCAGAACATCCCTCCCACACCATTGCACTTCATCGCATAACGTAGCAAAACACTACAGTATAGCATCTCTCCACATACCAGCATAGCAGGTCATAAAATTGTTCATCAACTTGCGACCTGGTCCGGCCAACGCGCTGGCCGACGCCGCGGGGCTCTGCGCACATCTTCCTAGTATAGGCGCGCGCACCGTTTGGACCGAACGCCGAAGGTTTCGGTGGGGATCGCTCGAAGCAAAATAGTTCCTTGTTTTTTCCCACGTCGGCTACGACTGGGTGCCATTTCGGTTCAAGTTTCTGCTTCCCCCCCTGCGCGGGCGCCTCTCTGCGAAGTCGCGTGCAGCAGGGGCCCACGGCAACCCTCATCCATGCCGTTCACCTCCCCTCGCAGGAAGCCTCCCAGAGGAGGGCAGAGCTCGCTCGCTGTTTTCGTGCGACCAGTCCACGGTTTCCGCCGCTTGGGCTCGCAACCTCTTCCTCATCCCGCTGCGCCTCCTCCCCCTCCCCATCCTTGACCCGTTCGGCCCGCTTGTTTTCCTTCCCCGTCCTCCTCTTGCTTCGCCCGCTTTGCTTCTCTCCCTCCCCCACGTCCTCGCTCTCCTCTCTCTCCCCCGCCAGTCCTCATCCTCATCCCCTCCCTCCTGCTCACCCCTCCTCTTTTTGAGCCCGCGGCACTCTCAACTTGTGCGCCTCCTTCTCGTCCCATTAATCGTGTTCCTTCTCATATCTCCGCTTCTCCCTGCGAGGAGTGGTAGGAGGAGGGGATAGAGGGAGGAGGAGGAGGAGGATGAGGTAGGTGTAGGAAGAGGTCGATGGAGGACAACGAGGAGGAGAAGGAGGACGAGGACGAGGACGAGGAGGAAAAGGAGGAGGAGGAGGTAAGGGGAGGAGGTAGAGGGAGGACGAGGAGCACGAGGTGAACCCGTGTAAACCCAAGACGCATCAACGATGCTGCAATATACACTCCTTCCAAGCTCACTATTTCGCAGGTCCCTACAAGCATCCATCTCCACTGAGGGAGGCGCCCCATTGGAAGACCGTTTGAGAATCCCCATCCGTGCGATAACACCAGTCCTGGATTTCTACGCCGCGCATCATGGTAATTGTTGCGTCCTGGTCCCGGCAATCGTAAACCGTGCCAGGACACAGTTCTTGGGTCTTCGCGAATCAACGTGACCGTTGCGTTCTGACAGTCCTAGTTCGTGCCAAAACTTATTCCTGGAACTGACTTCAGCGATGCGGATCTTTGAATCTGTTGCAAGCTGAAAAGACGAATGCGCGCGGCGCTAAGGCGAGAATCATCTTCTGAAAAGGAGCCGCCTTCGATCCCGAAAACTGTTGCAATCTTTTCTGATGGAGGAGTGTGCGTGGCGCTAAGGCGAGAGCCACATTTCCAACAGGACCTGTCCTCTTTCCGTGAAGCTCTTGCACCTTTGTTTAAGACGAGTGTGCGCGGCGCCCAAGCGAAAACCACATTTAAAAAACCACCAGCCTCCCATCCCTGAAACAAGTGCGATTGTTAAGCCTCAGGGCCATACATGGTGAGGAGGTCCCAGACAGAACACCTACCCACCCTACCGACACGTCTGGGGGTGCGACAGGCAGGCGTTGTTTACAAAGGGAATGGGTGGAGGATGGGGTGGAGGAGGACCGGAAGGAGGACCCAAAGGAGGGAAACACGAAGCAGGAGGAAACGAAGAAGGTATGGAAGGCGAGGATGCGGCCTGGCCCCACTCCGGCCAGGGGCTCCCCTGCTACGGGGCGCAGCTTCGGCACCAGCTGGGCAGGCTGAAGGCCCACGAGGATGTCCGCCGAGGGAGGGCCCTGCTACCCAGGCATCGCGAGAAAGCACGTCGGCATCGGACGCGTTCGCCCCGTTGAGACCTTGGAGCCTGTTGGATCCGTTTGAGGGGCGCGATAAAACGCTTCGACTGCGCCGACATTAGCGCGAAAATTGCTCGCGTAAGGTCGCGCGTAAGCGCCTTCGATTCCAGCGTAGCGTGCAGCGCTAGCGGCCCGCGTAAGCATCAGCGTAAGGTCGCCATGCCATCTCGCGCAAGTCTCGTTTTTGATCGTCGCTCATCTGATTCCGGCTCGAGAAGGACTGTGCAAAGTCGAGTGTGTTTGTGTGTGTATGTGTGTGTGTGTGTGTGTTTTGCCTCGTTCCTCAGAGATTGCCCTTGCGTCGGATGTTGCCCAAGGGCCACAGGTGTCACTGACCCAAAGAGTTCTTCCAGAACTCCAGGGAGGCCCCCGCTGCCACCAGAGCACCCCCCCCCGAAGCCACGAGGCCATCCCTCCACGAGGGCGGCGGGCTCGTTGGGCAAGGGATCGCTGGCGGGGTGGACTGGGAGCTGTCAGGAGGGAACAAAAACACACAGACACAATTAATCGTCGATTCCCCCGAAGGTATGGGAAAATATGGGAGGTGGGGGGGAGACAAAAAACCCAGAACATGTTATTTGTGTCTCTTTATTTGTGTGCTTGTGGGCCCCCTCAAGCTGGGAGCACTCTCTGCGCTCACGCCCGTCGCGGGCTTGCACACTCCTCGACCTCTGCTCCTGGTGGCCACGCCGCGTGGCCAGCGGGTGGGGCCTCGGGGTCGCCGCGCCGGTCCTGGGCCTCGAGAGCCCTTCGCCGAGGGCGCCTCGTCGGGCGACCCCGAGCCCCCCCGAGCCCCCCGAGCAGCCCCTGAGGCCCCCCGGGAGAGCCCCCGACGCGGCGCGCCGCGCGGCGATAGGTCGCTATGTAGGGGACGCCGGGGGCTCCGAGGGGGCGCCGCGCGGCGCCTCGCGCCGCGCGCCGCCCGGGGGGGGCGGGGGGCGCTTCCCGCGTGGGGAGCCGCTCGCCGGCGCCGGGCCCCTGCCGAGGCAGGGGCCGCCGCTGCGCGACGCGTCGATCTGCACGAACGGGATGGGCACGGAAAGAATGGGTGCTCCAGATTTCACCATAAAAGGGGGGCGGTCTGATTTGGGATGGGGTCAGATTTGAGCTGTCTTGGAGGGTTCCAGTGGGTCTGGGCAAAAAGCCGCCCTTTATGGCTTGTTTGGGGGGGTCTGGATTGCCCGTCTGTGAAGGTCGTGACCCCCTCCCTTTTGTGGCGAAATCTGGGGTACAATGCCCAACAGCGGATCCTGTTCATTTTGAGCAGGACTCGCTGTCCACGCCGCCGCGGCCTGGCTGTCCATTCGAGACAGGAGGCCGCCTGCCCAACAGCGGCCGCTGTTGGTTCGGGACAACATTTGCTGTTGGGCACTGTACCCATTTTTTCCGTACCCATTTTTGGGCGTCCAAAGTCGAGCAGTGGCGGAGCGTCCCAGCTCGCCGATGGGCCTACCAAAGAATGTGCCGAGGAGCTTTTGTGGTCTGCGCGAGATGTTCTGAGGACGTGTCTGGCTGGGGCTGTCTTGTTTCAAGACATCGGGCTTGTGCAAAGACCATTGTGCTGGTGTTTTAAGCAAATTCTTGGTTATCAGAAAACTTCGTGGTATGCCTATCGGAATGCTGGGACGGTCGGTCCCTGCTCAAACGCGGAGTCACCGAGCGCGTTTCTCTACTCGCGAAGTGCCTACTCGCAGACGTCCGAAAAACACATGTCTGCTTCGATGCAATATATCGCAGATCCCCCATGGCGGATCCAGGCCACTTGCGAGCAGCTACTTTGCGAGTAGTGGAACGCGCTCGTCTACGGAGGGTGAGCCTCCGCAGCCGTGCGATCCTCCCCGGGCCTGGTCCGATCCCGTTGCTTTTGGAGGATGCGTCATGGGAGGGCGATCAAGAGTGGGGGGGTAGGGCCGCGCCTGGTCGAGCGCCTCCTCTGGGGCTCCCCAGATCCTCCCGATCGGCTGCCTGGCGGCGATGTCGTGCACGACGAGCTGGGTGTAGCGCAAGGGGGGGGGTGCTAAATGGGGGGCAGCGAGTGCTGCAGAAGGGGGGCCCTTGAGGGCTCGCGTCGGCCAGCCTCGGCTCGCACGAGGCAGCGACGTGGCATGGGAAGCTCACACGGGTTGCCACGGCGCGCGCCGCACCCCGCCGGGGGGGCGATGCGCCAGGCTGGTGCACCGAGGATCGAGGACCGAGGATCGAGGATCGATGGAGGACCGAGGGCATCGAGGATCGATCGAGGGCCGAGGATCGATCGAGGATCGATGGGGCGACCGAGGATCGAGGATCGACGGGGGGTCGAGGGGCGATCGAGGAGCGAGGATCGACGGGGGGCCGAGGCGCAGGGCCTCCGGGGCCGGAGGCTCACTCGGAGGGGCCCGCCGGCGCCCGCCACCGGCGGGCGAGAGCCCGCCCCCCGCAGGCGGGCGGGCGCGCGCCGCGCTCGCCTCGCAGGGGCGCCCCCGCCGCCCCGCCGGCGGCCCCGCGGCGCCCCCGCGGCGCCCCGCGGCGCCTCCCCCCGCCATGGCGCTCCCCGAGACGATGCGGGCCGTGGTGGCGGAGGGAGGCCCGCGCGCCCGCCCGCGCGCCCGCCCGGGCCGCTCCCGGGGGCCGCGGGGCCCAGGCCGAGATGTCCTCCTCCTCCTCCTCCTCCTCCTCCTCCTCTCCTCCTCCTCCTCCTCCTCCACCTCCTCCTCCTCCTCCTCCTCCTCCTCCTCCTCCTCCTCCTCCTCCTCCTCCTCCTCCTCCTACTCCTCCTCCTCCTCCTCCTCCTCCTCCTCCTCCTCCTCCTCCCTCCTCCTTCCATCTCCTCCTCCCCCTCCCCCTCCACAATTACACAATATGAAAATACTCTCCCACTTCCCCTGATGGCGTCCGGAAGATATTCGGCACCCCCCCGCGTACTGTTTTTTTTACACAGGATTCCCCGGAGTTGGGTTTTCGCTTGTGTTTTTTTCAAAATGCTGCTCTCGCTGAGGCGCCGGCCTCATTTCTGCTCCCGAATCGTTCCGAATCGTGCTCCCGCTGCAGCGTGGGCCTCATTTTCGGATCGGTGTTTGGCCTCCGTCGTTCAGGATGGCGTTCTCGCCCCAGCGCGGGCCTCTTTCTCGCGCGCCCATCCGCCCGCCACCACCGCGCCGCACCACCACCACCACCACCACCACCACCACCACCACCACCACCACCACCACCACCACCACCAACCACCACCACCACCACCACCACCACCACACACACACCAGCACCAGCACCAGCACCACCACCACCAGCACCAGCACCACCACCACCACCAGCACCACCACCACCAGCACCACCACCACCACCACCACCACCACCACAACCACGCACACACGCACGCACGCACGCACGCGCACCACCACCCACTACGCACGCGCGCGCGGAGCCACAGGTCCGCTACGACACGCGTCCGCGGATAGAGAAAATCAGCGCCATGGTAAGGGATGGGAGGGAGGGGTAGGACGTCAGATATGACGCGAGCGCACCTAGCTTGTCCCCTTCCCCTCCTCCTCCTCCTCCTCCTTCTCCTCCTCCTCTTTCTCCTCCTCGGGTCGCCTACGGCCCCAGGGGAAACCGTGCAGGGCCAAGGGCGAGGAGGGGCAGGCTCCCTGCCTCCGTGTCCCATTCCATCCTTTGCTCTTCCACCGGGCACGCTGTGGCGGGAAACCTGACGAAGCGATGGAATGCCCCAATCAGTGCTTGCACTGCAAGGGGTCCTGGTGGAAATGGAAAGATTCGGCGAAAGTTTCCCGCCGATGTTGGTGGCCGGCTGGGTTCCCGGGTGCCCGGTTCCGGGTTCCCGGGTTCTTGGTCATTGGTTCCGGGCCGATTCGTTGGGTTCCGGGTTCCCGCGTTCCTGGTCGATCTCCTCATCGACCTCTTTAACGATACCATTTCAAACCATGCATTGATTGGGGTTTTTCTCTGGTGTAATGTCTTCACCGCAGAAATTTGGAGGATTCGCGGCCGAACGGCGAGATGCTGTGCTCTGAGAGATGAGCGCCTGCAGAGAGAGCATGTTCGGATGTCGTTGACAAGGTAATTAAGTATTGAGCCAGCTGCGCGGCGAGATATCGAGCGGGAGCGAGATGCAAAGAAGAAGCGGCCGCATCAGGACGATGATGAAGATTAGTATGATGATGTGAGCACGGATGATCAGGAGGGGAATGAGAATGATGATGACGATGCCGAAAACGATTATGACGAGGATTTGGATGATGACCACCATGGTGGACGAGGTGCAGGGGGACGGGAAGAGGAGCAGGAGGTGGAGGCGGAGGAGGAGGAGGAGGAGGAGGAGGAGGAGGAGGAGGAGGACGAGGATGGTCTAGATCACCCTCGAGGACGCGAAGGCAAGCGCTCTTCTCGCTTCTTCCTCTCCATCTCTTCCTCCCTCCTCCCTCCTTGGTCTCAGGAGGCGCGAAAACGAACGTCATGACACTTCTTGCGGCGCGAAGCGCGGAGCTGGCCAACCTGTCGGCGGGGCGAGGAGAAGGGAGACGAGGAGGGGGGCGAGGAGATGGAGAGGGAGAGGAGAAGGAGGAGGCGGAGGAGAAGGAGGAGGAGGCGGAGAAGGAGGAGGATTACGAAGCTCGCTGTATGCTCAGAGGGGACCCAACAAGGAGGAGGAGGAGGAGGAGGAGGAGGAGGAGAAGGGCGAGGAGGAGGGGGAGGCGAAGAGACGCTCTTCCATCAGCTCTGGGAATGCCGTTGTAATGCAGAGCTCCCACAAGAGGGGCTGCACTGGGATCTCCTGGCCCAGGCGCGCGAGGAGTGGCAAGATGAACCGTGCTTCTGGCTTCGCGGCCTGACCCCCCTGGCCAGGACGTTCAATATTCGGCACCTGGAGATCCGAGGAGCTGAGACGCTGTCCCCCGAGCTGCAAGGAGAAAAGTTTCTTCTCCCACCAGGGGCCTACATCGGAGGGGATGGGTCTGGTGGCCTTTACTCGTCCGATCCCAGGCTTCGGCGTTGGGGTTGGGGGGCGGCCATTTTCCAGGAAGGTGAAGTCATAGCTTGGGCCAAAGGGCCCCTTCCCACGTACAAGCAAACAGTTCCGCTCTCTGAGCTCTGGGCATGCTTCAGGGTAGCCCAGCTTACGGAAAGGGGGCCTCATTTTCGTAGGAGACAATGATTCGGTGGTGAGCGGGATTAATTCGGGCCCCCGCTTCCACCACACTGAAAATGCCACCTTTGAGGACTTGTTCTATCAAGAGTGTGAGGGTCGGCGTGTCCTTGCGGTCAAGATCAAGTCCCATGAGTCTGCTTCTGATGCCGTGCTGGTGCGTCATAGCAGGTTTGATTTTTGGGTGGCAAATTTTATTGCTGACAAGCTGGCCGACCAGGCCGCCAAGGAAGCCCAGCTCCCAGGTTGGGCCATAGCGGAAGTTGTCAGAATAGATACCCTGAGCACGGGAGTCCAGGAGCATATTTTGACGCTTTCTCACCACATCGCCACGACTGCGTCCCAGATTTATGGCGCCAGCAGTGTTGAGGATCGGAAGCGTGAAGGCAAGAGACGTAAGCTGGCCAAGCAGGGAGTTGTTGCTGAACTCACTGCGTCCACCTCTCATTGCCTGATCGATCGCCCTGGGATGCCTTTGAAGTGTTCTAGATGCCTCACGTCCCCGTAGGGGACGGCGGAGAGTTGGCTCCGCTCTGAGTGCCCTGGGCCCCCTGCTAGAATTCACCTCTCCCATTGTCATCTCCAGAGGTTCAGAGGCGTCTTCTGGTGTCGCGACTGTGGGAGTTATGCTGCCACAACCTTCCTTAAGCTTCCCAGACCGTGTCCTGAGAAGATCTCAGAGCATAGGGGGGAGATTCTCAAAGCGCTGGAAGCAGGAAGACTCCCGAGGGATATCAAGGCCTGGCCCGAGCCTGAACCCTAGCTGGAGCTCCCGCCCCCAGCAGCTTATTTTTGAACTGGGGAGGGGGCCCTGCCGCGGCTCACTGGCTGGGTGGATCGCAGCCGAGTCGGTGAGTGACAAACATTGATGGGCCCCCTCCAACTTTCATCATCAGGGGCTCCGCCATGTGGACTCCGCCCCTCTGGTAGGCAAGAGGCAAGAGGAAGAGGAAAAGGAGGAGGAGGAGGAGGAGGAGGAGGAGGCAGAGGGGGAGCCGGAGGCACTCGGAGGCCCCTCGGAGGCCTCGGAGCCCCTTCGCCAGGGCCCCCCCTCCTCGGAGGCCGGCTGGTCGTCCGGAGGGTGCCGGTGCCGAAGCCCAGCGACAGCGAGGTGTTGGTGCGCGTGCACGCGACTGCGGTCGGCGCCGCGCCCGCGCGTCGTCGGCGGATGTCGGCGCTCGGCGTCGGCGCCAGCGCCGTCGTCGTCACCGTGGTCGTGGCGCTAGCGTCGTCGTCGTCTTCGGCGGCGGTGGCGTCGGCGTCGGCGTCGGTGTCGGTGTCGGTGTCGTCGGCGGAGTCGGCGGCAGAGGCGGGGACAGCGTCGGCGTCGGCGTCGTCGGATGAGGATGGCGGCGAGTGAAGGAGGAGGGGAGGGGTGTGAGGGAGGAGGGGGAGCAGTTGCCGAAGGGACAAGGCGGAGTGGTCAGGAGGCGGAGAAGAGAAAGCGGAGGAGGGAGTAGCTGGGAGCCGGTGCATCAAAATCCACGCCCTCATGGGCGTGGATGCCCGATGCCCGTGGATGCGCTCATGGGCGTGGATGCCCATGGGCGTGGATGCCCGTATCCCTGCCCCTCCCCGTCGCCCTCCCTCCCCAGAGTTCCGACGTATAGATGTTGCTGGTCACGCCGTGGGCCCTCGAGCCCTCGACCCCTCCTCCTCCTCCTCCTCCTCCTCCTCCTCCTCCTCCTCCTCCTCCTCCTCCTCTCCTCCTCCTCCTCCTCCTCCTCCTCCTCCCTCCTCCTCTCCTCCCTCCTCCTCTCCTCCTCCTCCTCCTCCTCCTCCTCCTCCTCCTCCTCCTCCTCCTCCTCCCTCCTCCTCCGCCTCCGCCTCCGCCTCCTCCTCCTTCTCCTCCTCCTCCTCCTCCTCCTCCTTCTCCTCCTCCTCCTCCTCCTTCTCCTCCTCCTCCTCCTCCTCCTCCTCCTCCTCCTCCTCCCTTCGAGTCCGGGTGTTCGTCCCGTGTCGGTTGCTGGTGGGTGTGGGGCTCACGCGGCCCCCCCCCCCGGACGGCGAAGGTGACGGGCGGAGTCCGTGGCGACTTGTGCGAGCCGCCTGAGGTCTGGGCTTAAATCGGGCCTGTCCCTTTACAGGAGGAATCTTAAACAATAGTTGAAAGATAGGAGACATTAACGATTTTCCTAGTAGTACTCTTGTTGATTTTTTGTTGAGTATTTCGAACTTGTCGCCCAAAATCCGCCTGTAGAGGCACATCCCCGACCTAAGCTCACACGCGCCCCCCGGACGGCGAAGGTTGCGGGCGGAGCCCGCGGCGACTCGCGCGAGCCGCCAGAGGTCTGGGCGCATCCCGCGTGCCCCCATGGGCCGCCCCTCTACCGCCGAGCCTGCGGTGGGGTGACAAAGGCGTGGTCTTGGCATCGCTCGGACGTGTGCATTTTTTCTCGGCGAGAACCATCGAGGACCATCCTGGACCATCCAGCCAAGAAAGCACGCACGAAACCGACAAATGCACGGGGAATGGACGTCCGAGCGACGGCGAGTGGTGGTTTGCCCCACCCCAGCATGGCCCATTTCGATCCCAGCGGGCCGACTCGATCTGGAGTTCGGCCAGTTCGGTCCGATCTGAGGCTGAGCTTCGGACGGCCCGATGCGGGGCCCGATGCTCGCACGGCGTCGTTGGGCACCCTGGGCAGCAGCCGGTTCGGCTCCGACTCCGTGCCGATGCGGCTCGATACGACGCACGCGTCGATCCGATCTGATCTCTTGATCCACTGCTGATTGGTACTGCCCTTTTTGCCAGGCTCCTGCCTTCCCGCTCCTCTGCGGGCCCCTCTTCATGTCGAGCGCTCCAGGCAGGTGTTCGCCTTCGAGGGATCGAGGGGTTGTCTTCTCTTCCTCGGCGGAAGACTGCTGGAAGCCAGCGGAACTGCAGCAAGGGATACTGGCCGGCGGAAGGCGGCGAAGTATCGCCCCTCGAAGAGGTGCAGGCTTTGTTTCTCCGGAACGAGCCATGTCCTCCGTTCTTCCCGAGACGCTTCGGTTATCAGACGCGCTCTTGAGGGCCTTCCCTTCCCCGTCCCCCAGCGCACCGATTATGTTTCCATCCTCTGGCGCGTGACGCTCGTTACTCGGTCCCCCCCCAGGGTAATGGCAACGATCGTGCGTGGGGGGGGTCTGGATTCCCCCGCCGCACATGCTGGTGCTCGCGCGCATACTATGGCGATGGCAGCGCACCCCCGCCCAGACGTGCCCCACCCCGCCCAACAGTTTCCGTTACGAGTCAGTTTTTCAATCCCCTGGCGATAGCGGACGCGACCAGGGGGCAGGGTAGAGGGAAGAGGGGGCCGATCACGTCGCCATGCGCACCGGCGCCGTAGGGGCATGCCCAGGGATGACGAGCTCCCACGCGGCGCCGGCGCGAGTGGTGACGTGACCAGGGGGGGGGAAGGGCGGGGGCGGGGCTGCTTGAGGGGCGCTCTCGCGCATGGTGAGGAAGCTGGCCCTGCCCGGTGCCCCAGACCACCCCCCCCTCCATCGGGCAACGGCGGTGGCCCGGGAAGAAGAGTCCAGGCACACCCCAGCAGCGCGCCCCGCGGCCCCCCGCCGTCCGAGGCAGGGGGGCGGTGGGCCCTGCTGCGCGCGGCCGCGCCGCTGCCGCGCAGCGCCTCCCGCGGCGGCTGGGCGCGCTCTGAGGTCGAGGTCGGAGAGGCGCGAAGGTGAGGAGGACCAGCTGCTGCGGCATCTTGCCGTGGCAGGGGCCGTCGAGGTGTATGTGCTGTTCGAGGAGCGAAGAATGACATACGCATGACAGCTCGGAGGTCCGCGCGGATCTCTCGGATCGGCGCTGGGGCCACCTGGCGGCGCCGCCCCTGGCGCGCTCCGCGCGCCGGGGAGGAGGGGTCCAGCGCGGATCCGAGAAATCGGCGCGGGCCTTCGAGTTTTGGTCGTTTCTGTCGTTGCCTGTTTTCGTACTGGCGGGCCCCCTCGCGGTGGAAAGTGCACGCACGAGGCCGAGGCGTGCACGGGGGACGGACGTCCGAGCGATGGCGAGGGACGTGGGAGAGTTTCGGCGACTACAAAAGTCAGGAGGAAAAGAAACACACAGACACAATGAATCCTCGATTCCCCAGAAAATATTGGAAAATATGGGAAGTGGGGGGGAAGACAAAAACCCAGAAAATATGGGAAAATATGGGGAATATTTTTATTTGTGTGTATTTATTTGTGTGTCCTGGGGCCCCTTCAAAAAGGTGCTGCTGCGCTGGGGAATTGGTCACGGTCGGCGCCGCTGCTCCTGGGGGGTACGATGCTGTCCTCGTCGGGCCTCCTCGGGGCGCGGCGGATGACTCCTATCGAGGTCCCCGCACGCCCCCAGCGTGCCTCCCGGGGTGCCAGTTGCAAGGCGCGCCCTCTGCAGGCCGCACCATTCGGGGCCGCCGAGAGTCGGAGGATGTGTGACTTGATCTGGACTGCATCGACTGGCACCTCTTCAGCGCCGGTGACACGCTGAAAAACAAACTGTCCTGGAGACGCAGGGCGTTTGCCGCCGCTTCTCTCGACGGCTCCAGCGCGAGCTGTGGCGTGGCGGTCCAGGTCTCGTGAGAGCTGTTCAGCGGGAGCTCGCGCGGCCTTTCAGGCTGGGCCCCGCCGTTTTTTGTTGATCAGGAGGGAACAGAACATACAGACACAATGAATCGTCGACTCCCAGGAAAATATTGGAATTGGGCGGGACTGGGGCCCAGCGCGGATCCAAGAAATCCGCGCGGAGCGCCAAAAGTTTACGGCGTCTTTCTTCGTTTACATTCAGGAGAGCCGATGGTTGGTCTTGGCATCGCTCGGACGTGTGCGTTTTTTCCTCGGCGAGGACCATCGAGGAGCATCCTTGATCAGTTGGCGGAAAAACCACGCACGAAACCAAACAAAAAAACACAGGGGATGGACGTCCGAGCGATGGCCAGTGGTGGTGGATGCCGCCACCCGCCTCCCCTCCAGGTGAACCGCGACGACACGCTGCAGCTCAGGGGCGACAGCCCGCTGCCGCCAGGCGCCGACGCCAGCGTGGCGGCGGGGGGGTCCACCGGCAGCATGCGCTGCATGCCACGGCAGGCTCCGGGCATGCATTTTTTTTCCGGCAGTATCCTATCTTCGCCTCCAGACTCTCCAAACCGCGCCTCAGAGGAACACGAGGTCTCTAGGGTTCCCCACGGTTCCTTAGCATGCCTTCCAGGATTTCTACGGTTTCCAGGATTTCCCCAGATTTCTGAATGTTCTACCCGGGCTGCAGAAACGAGGGCCGCCAGATACCCCGGAACTCTTGGAAAGTATCCTGAGCCACTCGTAGCATGACATCGTTGCCTCCTCCATACGGGGACACGTAAGACTCGAGTAAGCCAGAACTCGGGTTTGCCGAAGTTTTTGGACGAGCGCGGCATGAATTTTGACGGTCCAGTTTTCGTGGGATGTCTGCAGCGGGAGCCCGCGTCAAATTTCAGATTCGGTCTCATCATTTTCATGATGGCCCCCGTTAGGCCAACCTGAGTCCCCCGTACCCGAGACTTACGTCTCCCCGACCATAGCCTGTACGCTAGCCAGGTGTTCGATCTTGAGCCCCTTATTAGACGCAGCCACCCATCGCTCGCGCCGAAGGCCGCCAGAGAAAGCCGAGGACCCACAGGAAGCCGCGGAAGACCGCCAGAAGACCGCCACAGACCGTCAAAAGACCGCCCAAGGCCAATGGGTAACAATTGGAGAGGGAAAGTTAGGGGAACGAACAATCACATAATCATAACAACTCGGAGGTCCGCGCGGATTTCTCGGATCGGCGCTGGGGCCACCTAGCGGCGCCTCCAGCGCCGCCCTGGAGCGCTCCGCGCGCCAGGGAGGAGGGGTCCATCGCCGATCCGAGCAATACGCGCGGACCTCCGAGTTTTTATTGCTTATGTCATTGATTGTGTTCCTAATTGTGGGTCCCCTTGCGGTGTAAAGTGCGCACACGAGGCCGACACATGCACGGGGAATGGACGTCCGAGCGATGGCGAGGGACGTGTGAGAGTTTCGGCGACTACAAAAGGTGCTGTTACGCTGGAGAGTGGATCCAAGAAGTCCGCGCAGACCTCCGAGTTTTTATGTTTATGCCATTCTTCGCTTACCTAGAACGTGTGCATGAACGTGCATTTGCGGAGGTCCGCGGGGATCTCTTGAATCTACGCTGAGTCCCCCTGGCGGCGCCTCCGGCGCCGCCCCTGGCGCGCTCGGCGCGACAGGGACGGGGGCCCCTCCCTGGACGATCAAAGAGATCCGTGCAGACCGTCCAACATTTAGGTTGATGCAGCTTTCAGCCCAAAGACCGAACTCAAGCGAAACATGGGCATGCGAGGACGCAACATGCAATGATGAGCTGGAAAGTTCTATCGTGGCAGACGCCGCCAGTTTCCTCGCTACCAGAAACTATCCTGCCCCGCACTCGCAATGGGGGGTCGGAAGAGCCCCTCCGCTGCACCTGGGACGGAATGCCGACGCGCCATCTCCCGACCAGCACAACGAGGCAGACACAGCATTACATGTCGGCCACGCGGAGAGGGGGTGGGGGCAGGGGGGAAGGCTTCTTAGACGCACCCCTGCTTCTTGGCGCAGGCCTTGCCGGGCCTTGCCTGCAGATGTAGGGCCAGCGCCTTCCTTGAAGCAGCTTCTTTGAGGCCGCGTCATGGGGGGGCGATTGGCCCCTCTCTTGGCTCCCCATTGGCCGTCTGGAGGGCTGTCTTGGGGCCGCCTGGGGCCGTCGATGGGGCTGTCGACAGCCGTGTCGGATCACTCTGGGACCTCCTCGGGCCAGCTTGGGGCGCTGTTGGGGCCGTCAGGGGTCCCTCTCGCGCCGTCTTCGGGTCGTCGTGGCGGCCTCGTGGCCCACGTTGGGGTCCCCATTCAGCCGCGTCGGGGCCGCGTGGGGCCTTCTTGGTCTGTCTTGGGGAGGGCCTGGGAGGCAGCTCGGGTTGCCCGCGTGCTGCCGCCGCCATGTGCAAAACGACCGCTCCCGTTGGCGCGATGCTGCAGGCCCCCCCCCATCTATGCCCGCCCCCCCCACGAACGAGCGGGAACCCAGGCTGCAGAAACGAAGGCCGCCAGAGACCCTGGAATTCTTTCACCATATCCTGAGCCAATCGTAGCATGACGCCGTTCCCGTCCCCAGCACCTCTACGCTAGCCAGGTGTTCGATCATGAACCCTTCGTTGGAAGCGACCACCCAGCTCGTGATGTCTGTTCGTGTTGCGTGATTGGGGTGGCGTCTTTCAGCGGCGGCGAGGGTTGATTCATCATGGTGTATCGCAGATGCCCCACCCAGACATGGAGAATTCTGGCACTGTGGACGCGGACGACCACAGCAACAACGATGTGGCGAGTGCGTCGGGTTGTGCTGTGCTTCGAAGTCCTCCGCGTGCGAAGAGCTGGCCAAGCCAAGCGCCTGGCATCGCTTGGACGTGTGCCTTTTTCCTTCGGCGAGGACCATAGAGGAGCATCCTTGATCATTTGGCGAGAAAGCCATGCACAAAACCGAAAAAAAACAGGGAATGGACGTCCGAGCGATGGCCAGAGTGGGATAACGCCCTGAAGGAGAAAGCCGCCGCGAGGGCGAGGCCAGGGCGTCGAGCGCGGCACTGCCGCGCTGCCTCTCGGCCGAGGCACCCAGGGTGCCGAGCGCCCCCGTCCCCGGTCCCCCTCCAAGCTCCAAGGCGCGCCGTGCCTCTCTGGACGCTCGAGATGGGCACGGAAAGAATGGGTCAATGCCCAACAGGAGTTCCTGTTCATTTTGAACAGGACTCGCTGTCCACGCCGCCGCGGCCTGTGTCCATTCGAGACAGAAGGCCGCCTGCCCAACAGCGGCCGCTGTTGGTTTGGGACAACATTTGTTGTTGGGCATTGTGCCCATTCTTTCGGTACCCATTTCGGGTGTCCAAATCCCCGAAGGCCAGTCTTTCATTCACTCCTGCACGTCGGGGCTCAGGGGGCGGGGGGTGATGCAAACGGGGGTCAGCCAGAGCGCTGGATCTTGCAGGATCCTGCAGGGCCAGGGCTACACTGACCAGGGTCTGCGTGCAGGATCCTGCAGGATCCGGCAGGATCTTGCAAAGGCCGACCGACCAGGGTTTGGATCGACCCGGGCCAGTGGATCCCCGATCTTGCATGGGCCGGCTCAGACCAGCGAGAGCTCGTGCGTCGTGCCCCTTGGTTCCAGTCGGGCATGTCCATCATTTGGGGACGATGTTTCTAGCATCTTAAATGTTTGGAATATTTGTTGATGACTATTTAGTTTCTCCCAAATCCGCCTGTAAGAGGGCATACCCGACCTAAGCCTTGGCGTCTTTCAGGCAGGCTTGTGGGATGAGGACCTCTAGTCCCAGCTTGTCATCCTCCTGCAATTTCGTCCTTCATGGCGACGACAGTGGACGACGGATGGCGAAGGACGACGGACGGCGAGCGACGGCGACGGTGGCGCTGTTCGAGATTTCCGAATGGCCCTCATTATCCTCATTTTACCTTCGTTTCACTCCTGTATCCGGCGTCCTGTAACATCCGAGGCCCATCCCGAACACCCTGGAGGCCTCGCGCGGCGCGCAAGAGTTGTTATATCTAGATCACACGTCCGCCCGGTCAGATGTGCATCGACGCTCGCTCGGCGAGGTTCCGAAAGAAGTCCGACACAAGTCCGACGTACGTCCGACGTGATTTCGACGTAGATCCTACGTAGATCGGGTCTCGAGTTGCCGCGCGAGGCCTCGAGGATTGTTTTTGTAACGAGCCCCCCCCCTGGGCCGCGCAGGCACCACCGACGTCCTCGGGCTGGAGATGGCCGGCACGGTGGTCGCAGGGGGCTTCGGAGACTGGAAGCCTGGCGACAGGTGCATGGCGATGGTAGGCCCGCAGGGCCCCCCGGGCAGGGAGGGAGGGAGCTGGCGGCGCGCGCTCGGCGGTGGCGCGGCGGGGGAGACCTTGAAGCGCCAGGGCCCGTCTACGTGGCTTCAGGATGTAACTCGTGGGAGGTTGAAGTCAGCATTGGCGCGGGTATATCCGCAGACGATCCCGCTTCATCTGGCCTAACCGGGCTCGATCTGGGGCTCAATCTGGCCTACTCTGGCTCAGCGGCTCCGCAATTCGTCTTCATAGCCTTTACAATCGCTCTCACGAGAGGCTCCCAGAAGTTGCCCCTAAGGGGCCTTCTTAGAAGCCTCGGACGGAGCTAGGACGAGGATGAATCCGTTCCAGGGAATTATTGAACGCTCTCAGGTCGTTCCGGAACGCTCTCGGGTCGTTCCGGAACGCTCTGAGAGGGCCGTGGCGCCCGAGACGTTTTCCAGAATCGCGGGATCTCAGAGATTCTCGATCTATCCTCGCCCGAATATATCCCCGTCCCGGCTTCGTCTTACCCCCTCTTTCTGAGAGTCGGGGGTGGACAGAACCCCCACCCTGACACGTCGATTAGTGAATCGTCCGTTTCGGTTCTCGAGAGGGCGCCGCGGCCGTGTTTTTCCAGGCTGGCGCCCGCCAGGTTTGGGCCCGAGGTCGGTTTCACGAAGCCACGTTTTCCTACATGGGAGCCTGTCCATTCCCGATAGCCTGGCGTCGCTCGGACGTGTGCATTTTTTCCCGGCGAGGACCATCGAGGAGCATCCTTGATCATTCGGCGAGAAATGCACGCACGAAACCGACACGTGCACGGGGAATGGACTTCCGAGCGATGGCGAGCTAAGAGCCCCCCACGCGCTCGTCTAAGATCAGGAGGGGAAGAACCACACAGACACAATTAATCGTCTATCCCCAGGAAGGTATGGGACAATATGGGAAGTGGTGGGGAAGACAAAACTCAGAAAATATGAGAAAAAATGGGGAATATTTTTATTTGTGTGTATTTATTTGTGTGTTTGTGGGCTTCCTCATAAGAAGGCAGACGTCCTCGGGCCCTCCTTCCCGCGCGCCGCCGCGGAGGGGAGGGCCCAGGCCCCTCTCACGGGCCGGTGCTCTTCCCGCCGGGAATCTCTTCTCGTGGCATCGCTCGGGCGTGTGCATTTTTTCTCTTCGAGAATCATTGAGGACCATCCTGGACCATTTAGCAAAAAAAAAAAAAAAAAAAAAAACGCACGAAACCGAAACATGCACGGGAAATGGACGTCCGAGCGACGGCAGGTTCTCGGCCACGCGCAGAGGGGGGCAGGGGGAGGGGGGGAGGCTTCTTGCAAGCATCCCTGCCTGCTTCGGGGGTGGACAGACCTCCTGCCCTGGCACGTCGATCGAGGAATTGGCCGTTTTCGGTTCGCGAGAGGGCGGCGCGGCCGTCACTTTGGCGGGTCCAGGTCCGTCGGTTTCGGTCCCAGGCCGTTTTAATTAAGGGGAGGTTTACTAAAGGGAGGTTTGTCCACCGCCGACGGGCCTTGTCTGTAGATGTAGGGCCGAAGCGTTCTCTAAGAAGCACCCTGCTTGTAAGAAGCCTCCTCCCAATCCCCCTGCTCCCCTGTGTGTGTGTGCCGCCGTCAATCTTTTCTCCGCTGCCTCGGAGAGGAGCAGCCGGCTCAGCGTTGTAGGAAACAGGTCCCCAGGCCCAAAGGTGCGAGAACACGATGTGTTCGATCCAGCAGTTTTTCCTGGAGTTCGGCCTCAGGGGCCTGGTCATGGGCCCAGGTACCATCGAAAACGGATCCTTGACGAAAAAACACCCCCAGGGAAGGAGGCGGGACCTCTGGGGCTGCGGATGGAGGAATCACATCGGCAGATGATGTTTTGGGGGCCACGGGTCCCGAGGTTTCTCGCCGTTTTGGGCTTCTTTGGGCCCTCCCACGGCCATGGGGCTGTCCGAGGGCGATGCCGGAGGAAGACTTCGTCCTGGGGGAAGGCCCTGGGGTCCAGGACCCGCTTCGTGCAGGACCGGTTCCTTCGTGTCGAAGCGGGGGGAGGGCATCAACCGTTTTCGCAGGCCTAGAGATTGACACCAACACCAATTTCGGCGGAGTGCCTCCACCGAAGGAAGAAGACCCCGATCTCGGCGACGGTGGTAATATTCTGGCTTCCAAGGTGGCCGAACTATTACCACCAACACCGAAAATCTAGGATCACCTCCCCCCCGTGGAGGCAACCCCCTGTCTTGGTTGGTGTTAGTGCCAACTTCTAGGCCTCCGACGTTTATGTGGACGAGGGTGGGGGAGGGGCCCCGCCTGCTGATTTGGACGACGCCGTCCGTGCACCAGAGCGGCTCGGTGCACGCTGCCGCGCGTGCCGGCACTCGTGGGAGCGTGCATCGCATTGGTCTGGCACGTGGTTGGCGCCTTTCCGCTATCGGCGGCGCGCCCTGTGGGGAAGGCAGAGGGGGCTGGCCTGCTCAGGAAGCGGCGGGGCTTCTCAGCTGCCCTCCCGCCGTCTGAGAAGCCTTCGAAGCCTTATCCGAAGCTATGGACGGCTCCGAAGGAGCCACGGATGGCTTCGAAGAAACTCCCCGCCGCCTCCGAAGGCCGGCCCACTCTGCCCTCCCCCCTGGGGGCGCCGCCGAGGTTCAGATCGCCCGCTCAAGGGGGAGACGAAGCGGGGAAGGAGAGGGAGGGAACCGGTGCCTCTCCCAGGCGATCGTAAACATGGCTTAAGGTCAGTTGAGCGGAAGATCGGGACAAATCGGAACCAGAGATTCTGGGAGAGTTCCAGAGAAAAATAGAACGCCGATTTGTGGAGCGTAGCGCGCGCATTCGCAGAAGTTCCCAAAGAGTGTTCGCGGGCTTGAGGAGCCCAAGTAACTCAATTAAACTGTTGAGGGCTGGCAGAAAATCTGGTGTGCACGAGCATTGTGAGCGGGTGCGCGGCTTGCACGGGGGGCACAGTAGGTTTGCGTTTCAGGGACTTGGGCGCTGGCCAATGCGCTGATGGGGGGCCCGAGAATGCGTCACACATATTACGCCTGTGGCGCCATGCAGGCCGCATTTGCGGTTGCAGTTGGGCGGGCGCCCCGCCGCGCGCACCGTGGCGACAGCTCTCTTGGGCGCCCGCCCGCCGCCGTGGACGTAGTGGACCCAGCTAGTCTCTCGGTCGGCGCGCGGCGGGTCGGCAGCCACGACGCTGGCGGCCTGAAAATGCTTCGAAAGTGTTTCTCCCCGAGCCCGGGGCTATTGTACGTTTTCGGTGGCACGCGCAGCTCGGAGAAAAATCGCCTTGTCCGTCGGCGGCCAGTTGGCTGTCGTCGCGCAGAAGTACCGGCGGATGGCGCGGTCCACGCTCAGCGCAGAGAGCGTGTCCATGAGCGTGGACTCGTCGAGGACCATCGCGGCCCGCGATGTCCACGGCCCCCACCCTGGGCGCGCGAGGACCTGCTGGGCGCCGCCGCAGCGCGATTTCAGAGGATCTCGGAACCAGAAATCCGGGCGCGCCAAATTTCGCGGGCCGAAGATTTTTCAGAGAGTTTCGGCCAGCTCTGAGGTTTTGGGTTTATGGGAATGTTTCACGCGGGGTGGCTAGTTCAGAGATTTTCAGAGATTCTCAGAGAAGTTCGGACGCGAGAATTTGGCGCGCCCCGGTTTCTGTTTCTGTGAATCTCTGAAAAGCGGTTCCTCAGGGTTCACCGGGTCCCCAGGCGTCCTACTGTCAGCCAGAGACGAGCGACTGGCTGGCGCCGCGCCCGATGCTTCCAGAGTTGCGAACTCGGTCTTCGATTCCCTGGGGCCCGCGGGCCCCTGGGCCAATTGCGAGGCTGCCGAGGCCCCCAGGCGGTTGCGCGCGATTGTCTCGGAAATCGGAGTTTGGCATCCATAGTGGACGCCCGCGCGCACGCGCTAGGTGTCCGCGAGATTGTTCGGCGGCGGATCTTGCATGGCGCGGGGATTTTCCAAAGACTTTCCGGGGTGTTCTCTACGGTAATTTCGGCGCGCTTCGGGAACCTTGGGGCGGCGCGGGGAAGTCGCCTGGCCGCGCGCGTGATTTTTTTCTCCAATGCCGTCTTGGGCATTATCGCGGTGTTGCTTGGCCGAAGAGGTCACTGAGTAACGCGATTTTTGACATTTTAGTGTTTTTTCGTTGCGTTGGTTGCGTGATTGTTTTGGCGGTCCGCCTCCTTGGGGCCCCCTTTAGGCCTCAAGTTTGTTTTGTTGACGTCGGGCCTTCTGGAGTGAAAGGCGCTTGGCGCTGAATTCCCTCGGTCGTGCGCGTGGCCAAATACGCGCCGTGGCTTCATCCGCGCCGGGGCGCTTTTCTTCCCTCGCGAAGCCGATGGCGCCCAAGGCGTGGCAGGCCCGTTCGGCGGCGCCCCCGGTGATTTGAAAAACCGAGCATGATTTCTATCCCGGTCCAATTTTGCCCCGATCCCGGCTTCATCTTATAAGGGGGCGTGGATTGGCGACGGGCCCCGCTTCCATCGGACACCGCGGATTTCCGCCGCTGAACGAGGCGGCACATGGCCGCATTTCGGGGAGGGCGCCTCCCCCGATCCATGGAGTTGGCGACCGCAGCCAGATCCGTGGATCGCTAGTCCATGTTTCTTGGCATCGCTCGGACGTGTGCATGTTCTCTCGGCGAGAGCCATCGAGGACCATCCTGGACCATCGAGCAACAAAAAAAACGCACGAAGCCGACAAATGCACGGGAAATGGGCGCCCGAGCGACGGCACGGTCTGCGCGCCCCCAAAGGGGAGGCTTCTCCCCGCCCCGCCCCGCCGGCAGCAGGGGTGGGGGGGTCCCGGGAGGGCGGGCGGAGCCAGGCGCAGCGGTCCCGGCTGCCACGGCGGCGGAGGAGCCCGCGGGCAAGAGCCTGCGCTTGGCATCGCTTGGACGTGTGCATTTTTCCTTCGGCGAGGACCATCGAGGAGCATCCTTGATCCTCTGGCGAAAAGCCACGCACGAAATCGAAAAACACCGAACAAGCAGAGGTCCGCGCAGATTTCTCGGATCGGC